CTGTACGTATAGTAGATGCTGCATTGATAGTTGTTGAGTAAACAAATCAAGAGTCGGCTCCAAATCACAAAGGAGCGGAGATGGGGCATCCTTTGCGGAGGGTGTCTATCTATAAGCCACCCTCCGGCCAAACATGTGGGATTTCCAAGGCCCATCCACATCCGTGCATCCTCTGCCCCATGCCATCCCATCTCTTCCGGCTGCATGGCTGCATGGCTGCGGGCATGCTCAGTGAGCCCCCTGCTGGGCGCCGTGGGCACTGCAAGGCGACCCATTGCTCTTGCCTGTTCTGACCCTGGGAAAAAGGACAGGGAGGGAGGAGGTCAGCCCAGCTCTGCTCCAAGACCTCTCCGCCTGTGCCGAGCTGGACAGTGACCTGGACACCCTCGGAGAGGCGCCGCCACGGAACACCCAAGCGTGGTTTGCTTTTCTGATGAATGGATTTGGTAAAATGTCTTCTCACTTTTTCCTAGACCTCGCCTGGTGGTATTACCAGTATCAGAGAGGTAAAAAAAAGTTTAAACTAACTCGACTCCTTTGGTCACATTGCTTTCAACGGCAGAGCTATTGAATCAAGTGTTTGTACTTTGTGCTGACTCTTGCTAACAAACCCACCTATATAGAAACCGTTGGAAACACTCTTTGAGACACAAGTTATAGGAAAAGCTTTGCTCTTCCCCTAAGCAACTGAGGTGTTTCCCTCTCGTGGGCAAATATACACGTAAGCACCCAAAGCCAGTGTGCGGTCCAGTGCGGGGACCTGCATTCCTACGTCCTCTTTTTCCCTGCGGTCTTGGCCTCCTGATCTAATCCACATTTTCTGAGGCAGTTTTCCTTATTACTTTATCTCTTATTATTATATCGTATCTACTCATGTGACTGCTCCAATCCCTGCGTGAAACACAGGGGACTGTGTCGAACCAGCGGTGAGGGAGAGAGGCGGTGAAGACGGAGTGGGGTGAGGTGGGGGGAAGGTCGGTGGGGGCGAGGTAAGTAGCACCGGTCAGACCCCAAAAGCTGCAATGCTTCTGGAGCCAGGAAGGTGGCGTGGCGGGAGGGCGTGAGCCCCAGGTGGTGGATGGAGTGAGCACCAGAGGGGCGGCCACTGCCCAGCTCTCGTACACGACTAGTCGCCTTGGGACACCCGGAGCCCAGAATGCTCAGACGATCCCCGTTTCCGAGAAGAATCAGAAATCCAAGTGTGTGCATGCGTCCCTCCTGTTCAAATACTGGCAGTTCATTCCAAAAAGAACAAAAAACTAAAACACATTTTATAGGCCAAGTGAGACCTACCTTTTGGGCTGTGTCCATGCCAAGAGACACCGTTTTGTCACCTCGAGACCAGGTGGGTGGGAGGAAAGGGCCACCCAGAGACCCCAGGAGGGAGAAGCTACTTTTCAGTCCGGGGGAAGGAGAGGATCATGGCCGCAGCCAGGGGCCTGACAGAGGAGCCCCCGCACTGGGAAGAAGACCAAAGGCGTGGGTCCCCTGCTAGCCACAGTCTAACCTGTGCTCGGGCCGGAGCCGGCTGCGGGCAGGACCACTGTCAGTTTGTCACAAACCAGCTGGCAGTTTGTGCTGCAGGAAAGCAGACGCCATTGTAGGGGCGCATGAAAACGACATCTATATAAGAGGCCCTGGACCTAGTGGTTTCTCGGTCCGGCTCTGGCACCACCCGTCGGTGTGACCGAGGACTCAAGCAAAGCCATTTAAGGACTTGTGCTACAAGCCCTTACCGTGGGCCCTGTGTGTTTAGCAGACACAGGAACTCCCTGAGAACACGGGCAAAACGCCACGACGCGGGGCATTTCCTTCCCCGAGGGTCTGCAGCTTTCACCCGCACCCAGAAGAGACTGCCACCCCAAAACTTGAGGGCCCACTTAGTCTGAGTCGCCGGCCCCAGCCTCTCCTTCAGCCGGGAACCCCCGCACCCTCCCCAGTTGCTTGTTCTAAATGGTCCCCCACTTTCTGAGCTGCTGGCACGTGGAGAACTCTGTCGGTCAGCGCTCCTGTCCACCTGACCTTCGGATGCCGGGGGCCAGGGTGTGTGGTCCCCCCCACCCCCGCCCCACTCGCCACCACACACAAGGTTTAACGACCCAGGGGCATGGACACATTTGACAAATGAGAAGTACTTTACAAACGGAAGGTATTTTAATGTATCATTGTCGTGTGGTTATCACCGCAGTGTGAAATCTCTAGGTTAGTTTCTGTCATCCAAACCCAGTCTGACTTGGCAACGGGCTCATCATTATTTTTAATAACTAAAGTAGTGACCACGAGCAATGTGTGTCCTCAGAGACTCTTAGCAAACCTCCGAAGAAACTGGCGAGCAGGCTCCCTCCCTGCCTGTTCGTCCTGTTTGCTCTTCCTCCACCCAGGGACCTGGGCCACCCTCCTGTCTTTACTGGGACCCCCTGGATAGCACCCAGGGCCTCTGGGGTGGGGACAAAAAGCTCTGCATCCCCTTCAACGTTTCTTCAGAATATGTTTACGGTGGCCAAACCACGAGGCACCCGAGCAAAGGGAGGGAAAGCTGGAGTGAGAAAAGGGGTGCCTGGCGTGGGCACCGCAGAAGGTCGCCGCAACAACAAAAATACATACACCAATTAGTGGTCTCCATTCATTCGTCACACGTGACACATGGCAGGCACGGCCAGCACAGGCTCACAAAGACGGAGATTAACATTGACAACAGGGTGCATCGCGCATGAGGGAGGGAAGGAACGCCTTCATACATGTTTCCCTTCAAAACTTTTGGCTGGTAGGTAGGTATGTGCATGCTGGACTGTGATGTAAACCCTCGTTCTTACTACAAATCAGCAAGAAAGAGAAATCGAGGCCCCTCTGGGTAAAGCCCCAGGTGCCCACGGCGTCCTTCCCGGCGTCTGGAGCCCCAGGGATGGGGTGTCCTTCCACGGCGGACGCCCCCGCAGCCTGGCGAGGGGAGGGCGATGACAGGGAGGCACCACCAAGCTTGGCGTCAGTGTCCGGATCCGCAGACATCACAGAGTCCGTCTGACGTGGAAACTGATCCTGCTGCCCAGGCGGCAAACAAATCATTTATTAATAAAGTCCAGGTCTCCCTTAACAAAGTGGGTTTAATATTCGGTATTCCGATAATTACTCAGTGCATTTTTAATCCAAGAGATGGCAAGTGAGTGCAATTTCTGAATCACAGTTTCTCAAACTCCTGCAGAGACAGATTTCTCTGAGCTTGTGAGGAATTCAGGCACGAGAAGGTTAATAGAAATAAGACAATCTTGTAAAAAAATATTTTTCAAGCTTCTAGGTAAGATAAACTTGGAAAATATACTAGACGCCTTCAACTATACACCATTTCTTCCAAAAATACGTTTTTGTCTTCCTTACTTACATTTTAATATAACTTTTACCTCTTTTCAGTGTTAAATATCTCTGCATTTTTAAAATAAAATTGCTATTCAGTCTAACACTGAATTAAACCAACAGTCTGAATTATATTTTTAAATGCGTTAAATATGTATGAGCACTCTGAATTAGACTTAGGTGGGGTTTTGTTGTTGGTCTGTAATTGCTACTTGTTAGCTACAAACACGAGAGCAGTTAAAGGCTCTGTTAGAATTATAAGGAAATGGCCACTCGCTGCTCTGTGGCATCCACGGAGTATCTTCTGTATGTTGAACAGTCCCCCTGACTCCCAGCGGGATACACAGGGTAGTAAGTATTTGTTACCAAATTCCTTTGCCTCCTACTGGAGGATCCCCTGGAAACGTAGCCAAAGGTCCGTTCCCTCAGGAAAAGGTTCACGATTCAAGCTCCCTTTGCTGGATTCCTTTCCCGCTGAAATCAAAGTATCAAAGGAAAAGTGGTGCAAAGAGACTATCTAAAGCGACCCCCCCGGAGCCATGCCCTGCCCCCACCCCGTTCTCCCGGGTGGACACAGCCTGTGCTCACTCTCCGTGGCCATGGGGGTGGGGGTGGGGGAGGGTGATAGGTCAGCAACCATTCCCAGCAACCTGCCCAGCATGCCACTGTTCTTGCCAGATTTACGGCCATTCAATATATGGATCAGGGTGCCGTCTGCAGGACGACCACAGGCAGAGGAGGTTAGCTGGTAATCGGTTCTCGATTGGAGCAAATTTATAGGAAGCGCTCCGGCAGGGCCCGGAGGAGAACCCGCGCTCATTTGGCTGTGATGGGGGAATGCTGCACCTCCCGCTGGTTTGGATTCGGGGATCCTCCAACAGGAGATGGGCCGAGTTCTCGCTTTAATTCACCGACACTCCCTAGATTTCTGCTGCAAAATCACATTGCGTTGCAGTTCAACCAGCCCTTAATTCAGCCGTGCTGAGAGCCCCCCTCAATGCCTGAGAAGTTTTCGTTTATATGGACCAGCTCCCGTTTGAGTTGTTTTCCTGTTATGTACGGCTAGTGAGCATTACAAACCAGCACCGAAAAATACACTCCGACTCTCAGGTTAATATCTGATGATGCTGTAATTTGAACTTTTTGCTAAAGGCAAAAAGTTCACACTAGCCTTTCTCTCGTTATCCCAAATGGTGCGAGTTCACTCCATGTTTCTTAAACAGCTTTGTCTCCCTTTGCGTGAGGGTGTCGATCGGTCTGCTCCCTTACCCGTGTCTCTAGAACATTCCGATGTTCCGTGGGCAGCAACCTGAATATGCAAAGATATTCCCAAAGAAAGGGAAACGTTCTCACGTGGGCTGATTTTAGCACCTCCGCCCCGTCTGCCCTCGGAGTGTCTTTCTGTCCAGCACTGAAGCGTCCTCACCTGGTGTCCGACACACCTGGTGTCTGACACACCTGGGGCAAAGGGTGGGCTGATTGTGAGAGACAGAAGGGGACTGGGTGGGGCTTCCGGGGGGGCGTGTCCGCAGTGCGGTCCCAGCCCACTGCCCTCTGACCCCGATCGTGACACCGCCCTTGTGCCAGCCCCGACTGCGGTCTGACAAGGGGCCCCCCAGGCCACCCTTCCAACGCCATCCCTCTGGTTCCAGATAAGATCGAGGACGAGCTGGAAATGACCATGGTCTGCCATCGGCCCGAGGGACTGGAGCAGCTAGAGGCCCAGACGAACTTCACCAAGCGGGAGCTGCAGGTCCTCTATCGAGGCTTCAAAAACGTAAGGACCCACGTGGCCTCTGAGGCCTGGGCAGGGCCTCCCTGGGGCTCAGCTGCCCCGGATGCCCAGGGGGCCCATGAGGGAGCTTTAGCGTACGTGTCATTGTGAAAGGAAGAAGGTCAATGTTATGAGAGCAAGATGTCCTGGCCGGAAGGGACTGCTGGTGAGGATGAGTCACAGCTTCCACGTAACGCACGCACACTGCCAGTGTTGTTGGTGCCCCAGAAATACCGGGGCGCAGGTCTGCCGCTCACCACGCAGACACGGGCTGCCGTGCGAGCCTGCATGCCAGTGTGTTCATTTCCCACATTTCCTGCCCTGTGAACCTCATGATAGCCTTGGGGGGAAGGTCCTGTTAGCCCCATTTCACAGCTAAGGATGTGGAGGACCAGAGACGGACTCATTCGAAGTCACAACGCTTAGCAAGGGCTGAGCCAGGGACCAGACCCAGGCCTTCCTCACCCCCAAGTGCAAGCTCTCTCCACCCGGACCACCAGTGCCTGTTCTGTGGGGAGGGCTCATCTTACAAAGCAGCTTCCATCCAAAGGTGGGGCTGCCTCCCGGCCACTCACCTCAGGGACATGCAAGTCCCTGCCACCAGCAGTCATGAGGACCCCTAGACCCCGAGGTGGGGCCCAGTCTACTCCCCCCAGGGTGGGCCCTCGGACTCCCCCGCTGACTCTGCCCCCCTCACGCAGGAGTGCCCCAGCGGCGTGGTCAACGAGGAGACGTTCAAGCAGATCTATGCGCAGTTTTTCCCTCACGGAGGTGAGTGCGACCTCGAGAGAGATCCCGCCCGGCCCCCTCTTTGTCCAGCAGCCTTCCTTTGTCCGGGCTCGTGCTCCTTGTCATGGGCCTCTTCCTCCGAGACATCGGGGAGCACGCAGAGCAAGATGCCTCCCGAACTGCGAGAGGCGGAGCTCGCTGGAGCCCCAGCAGGAAAGGGCTCTGAAAATGGACCCTGGTGGGGGGCGGGGTGGGGGGAGGAGGAGGAGGAAGAGGAGAGGCTGAGAGAGCCATCTCAGGAGGTCTCACGCAGCTCCAGGAGGCGGGCGCTGTTCTCCCTGCTGGGGCAGCTGAGCTTCAGAGAGGCCGGGCCGTCGGGTAGGACAGGGGATGGCAGACCCGGGCGAGGTCTCTAAGCATCAGATGTCAAGCTTCTCCATGTCCACTCCATCACTGTGCCCCACGCTCTCTGTTCCCTTCCTGACAGCAGCTGAGGCAGGTCAGGGCTTTGGAAAAGAAACATCAGTGAACACCAGAGGCCACAAAGTAAACAAATCCAAAAGCTGCAGGGAGCAGGGGGTTGTGCTTATAAATCTAGGTGAGCGAGGGTGTCCCGCCAGGGACCCTGCTTCCCCCCACCAACCCCCGTGAGAGTCCCCTGTGGTCCCGTGGGCCTTTCATCTGGCTTCCACGTGTCACGTGCCACCTTACACTTTGTCCCCAGGAGCTATCTCCTGCGGGACCCCCTCCTGGACCCTGACGAAACAGAGACCCAAGCATCCCAAGCCCAGCTTGGGCGGCAGCAGGAGCCTCTGGGGCGTGGGACCCCACCCAGGGCCCCACCCACGTTGGGGGGCAGCCTCGTCCCAGTCGGGCCCCAGAATCGCTGATGGCTGGGCTCTCTTGCGCCACTCCTGACTGAGTCTGGCCTGTGCGGCGGGCTCGGAGGCTTTGACGATGTGACTCAGTGAGAGGGCAACGTGATTTTCCAGAAGCGTCCAGCGACAGGTCGGGCTGCACCTGTCGCCCAGAGCCGGGCGCGTGAAGCTCAGAGAGGCTGCGTCAGGGGTCTGCAGGCACCCGGGGAGCAGGGGCAGAGCTGCTACCCAGACCGACCTGGGGGAGCGTCTCCATGCAGTCGCCGTGTCCTTCCCCCAGCAGGAACCACACACAGACGGGCGGCAGGCCCTCCTCTGGGGGTGGCCAGTCAGACAGGCAAGGGCCTGTCTTGCATCTGCTAGAACTTGCCGTCTAACCCCAGGACTGGCAGGCGGGCCCCGGCTCCTCCCGGTGGGTTCACCAGAGGCGTCTCCCGCCTGTCCCCCCCCCCCCCGCCCCGTCCTCTTCTCGCCCGCGTGGCTGGACGCGGCCTCAGCCCTCGGCAGAGCGCCTGCCCCCATCACCCGCCTCTCCTTCTCTGCCTCGCAGACGCCAGCACGTACGCGCATTACCTCTTCCACGCCTTCGACACCACCCAGACGGGCTCCGTGAAGTTCGAGGTACGTGTGTCTCCGGGACTCCCGGGGCGCCCGTCTCCCCTCCCTCTCCATCACGGGGTGTTGTGGGAACGGTAGGACCATCACACGCCCTCAGTCAAGACACAGAAACCTTCGTCCATTGAACCAGCAATTCCTGAATACAGAGAGATGCGGCAGCCACGGCGCCTGCCCTGCAGGGGCTCCGGGCCTCCAGGGACCGATGGTACCATTTCATAGGTCACGTGCACGTGGGCTTACCACGTGGCGGGCTCTGTATGCAGTGCCTTGCGTGTATTAACTCACTGAATCCTCACGATGACCCTACAAGGTAGGGGGCTATTGCTGATGGTCAGAGACAGGAGCAGAGAGGAAGGCAGAGAAATGGAGGGACTTTCCCCAGGCCAAACAGTAAAGCAGGGATTTGAGCTCAGATAGGGTGTTCCCAGGGTCCACGTTCTCGGCCACGGGACGATGCACCCACTGGGACAGTGAGTGCAGCCGTGGGATGAGGCAGTCCCAGGAGGCTGGGTCTTCCTGGGCCTGGAGGGGTCAGCACACACAGGGCTCCAAGCAGGGCAGGGAGTGGGGTGGCGGGGGTGCTCTTCACTGGGCTGGGCCACATCCCTCCAGGGACAGAGCACGAGGGAGACACCACTGCCCCGGGGCCGGACCCAAAGACAGAGCCGCAGCCCACCCGATGGGTTGGCGTTAACGTCACTCATGCCTCTTGCACTTCTCAGGACTTTGTAACCGCTCTGTCCATTTTACTGAGGGGAACTGTCCACGAGAAACTAAGGTGGACGTTTAATTTGTACGACATCAACAAAGACGGATACATCAACAAAGAGGTGAGTGAGCTGCGGCCGGGGCCGTGAGAGGGCCACAGGGCGGGCGTCTGGTCACTGCGGACGGGAGGAGCAGCCCCGGTCGGGCCGGGGAGGCCGTCCGAGTGAGGACAGACCTGCCTGGGGCCCACAGGGCCAGTGCCTGGGAACATGGGGCAGCTCACCTTTGACCTCGCATTGCCCTTGTCCCAGGCACCGAGAAAGGGTTCAGTAGAGTCATTCGTCCCCACTGGGTCACACGTATCCAGCGCACATTTCACTGTGGGCATGAGTGACTTACTGCAGTGTGGAGCTGCCCTGCCCTGGGGAGCTTGCATTTAGCAGGTTGACAGCCACAGGTTAAGGCCAAACGTTGGAGTAGTTTCTGCAGTTATCACCCAGGAGAGAAAAGGGAGATTTTTGACAAAGAGGAGACCACGGTTGGGAATCGTATGGGAGACGGGTGTGGTGGAGAGCGTGGCTGTCTAAAGAAATCATCACAGGTCATTTCTGAACCTTCCCTGCCTGACGCGGCTAGCACCCCGGAGCCCACGTGGTGTCCAGCCAGGGAAATACCCAGCAGTCCATGCGGAAACTCCCTTCAGTGTCTGCTGCACCCCGGGGTCTCGGTGGGCGCGTGGATTTATCGTCCTAGAGCACCCCACTTCCTGAGCACCAAGCCTCGCCCCGACCCTGCAAGGGTCTCCCCAGTTTTTACTCCTCACTCATCCAGCCGTGCACCTGCCCAGCATACATTTGAGGGCTTCTTAGGCGTTCCAGGTGCTGAAGATACAGTGAACGGCCCCGAAAATGTGAAAACCCAGAGCTCCCCTCCCAGCAGAGGTGCCACGGGAACCCCAGGAAATACAGAGAAGGCAGATACAGGCGGCCGTCGGGCACCAGGCAGGGGTAGCGAGATGGAAACGCTCAGACGCCGCGTCGCATTTTAAAAACCGCTTTATAAAGCGGTATGTATCATATCGTACAGAGCAGCTCAGCTGTACTCGGATGTCCACCTCTGTTCTAGTCAACTGTCGTTAATGTCACTCGAGGCCACAGGGACAGGTCACCTGGTGCAAATGCAGCCCCACGGGCTCACCCGTTCAAGGAATCAATGGAGTGGGAAGAGGGTCTTCCAAAGCTAGAGTCCACTCTGGTCCCCACACAGCTGCTCACTGTGGGGAATGCTCGAGCAAAGGATCCCACCCGTGGGCTTCTGGGGGCAGAGAGAACTTCCCGCTGCCCTCTCTGTAGGAGGAGGCTCCCCGAATACAGCCCCCCACCCCGACGTGCTTTCCAACTCCCTCTCATCAGCTGAAGAAGGTCCTTGTAACCTCTGTCGTTCATAAGGGGGATAAGGAGCCCCAGACTGTCCCTGAAGGTGAGCCTCACCTCATGGTCCCCCCCACTGAGTGCTTCCGTGTCCCCTGCGCAGGAGATGATGGACATCGTCAAAGCCATCTACGACATGATGGGCAAGTACACCTACCCCGTGCTCAAAGAAGACACTCCGAGGCAGCACGTGGACGTCTTCTTCCAGGTAAGCGGGCACACCTGTGCGGGAGCTTGACGCTCACCCTAGATCAGCCATCCCCCAGCATCTGAGCAGCAGTCCGTGTCCCACCCGTCCTGCACACGGTAGGAAGCAGAGAAGAACTGCAAATGTGCTGTTCTCTGGGAGTAGCCGCTCTCACTAGCAGACACGTGTGCCCTATAGGACAAAACATAGCATAGTACAGACTCCAAGTTCCATAGACATTCTTGGAGGATCCGAGTTGACAGAGGAGATGCCGTCAAGCACGTGTGTGGAGGTGGTAAGCATTTGCATCTAGAGAGGAAGGGAAATACGGTTGGAAACGCTGGTGGAATGGATCGTGAGGTCTTTAGGCTGAAGACCTCACCCTTGTCCAGTGGAGAGGGGGGAGCCTGAGTTAATCGTGAGTAGGAGAGTGGCAACATCTAGTGGTGTTTTAGTAAAAAATTAGCCCAGCAGTAGAGTGTCCAAGAACAGCAGAGCTCTTTCCAGTCTAATCCTGTCACTTTGCAGATGGGAAAACAGAGGGGCACGGAGGCTTAGAGACCCACTCGAGGTCACACAGTGAGTGACAGAGGCAGAGGTAGGAGCTGTCACGTCCGGTGCTCTTTCTGCCAGGTCAACGGGCCGGGGAGAGCCCCGGAAGCCGCGGGCGGGTGTCAGCAGGCCGACCTGGTGAGGAAGAGATAAGTGTCCGGAGCGTGTCTTTACATTTTCAGAAAAGTGCTCTCGTGGGGGTCGAAGTGCTGTACTCAGGGCCTGCGTGGAGCTGTCTCGCCACCTGCATCCTCAGGGCCACATTGGTTAATAAAAGGCAAGATTCGGAATGCAGATTACCAGGTTCTTTAAAGGGCTTCCTCTTGTGTCTTTCAGAAAATGGACAAAAATAAAGATGGGATCGTGACTTTGGACGAATTCCTTGAATCCTGCCAGGAGGTAAGGCGAGATCTCAGGGCACAATGTCCCTAAATCTGGGAGAGGAGAGTTGGGGCTTGGTGGCCTGCAGACGGGACAGGATGAGAAAGCTCTGACCCCTCAGGTCGGAGCCACCAGTGCCACCAGCAACACGTCAGAATTCCATCAACCCCCGCTCCCCGGAATGATCTGTGGTTGCTCTTGGCTAAGCACAAACTGAGCCCAAGAAGCAGTGGGGGTGGGGGGCGCATTGTGAAAACCCAGAAGCGTCTCTGAAACCACAGACTCCCCAAGTGGACCACACCATCCTTTTTTTTTATTGTTGTTCAAGTACAGTTGTCTCCATTTTTACCCCACCACAGCCCCCGCCCCACCCTTGCCCGCCTCCCAGCCTCCAACCTACCCCCTTTGGCGCTGTCCATGTGTCCTTTATACGTGTTCCTTGTTGGGCCATCCCCTGTTTTTCCCCATTCTCCCTCTCCTCTGGCTACTGTCAGTTCATTCCTTATTTCCATGCCCCTGGTTCTGTTTTGCTTGCTTGTTTGTTTTGTTGATTAGGATCCACTTATAGGTGAGATCGTACGGTATTTGTCTTTTACCACCTGGCTTATTTCACTTAGAATAATGTTCTCCAGTTCCATCCATGCTGTTGCGAAAAGCAGGAGCTCCTTCTTTCTTTCTGCTGCATAGTATGCCATTGTGCAAATGTAACACAGTATTTTGATCCGCTCATTTACCAGTGTTCATAGCAGCACAATTTAATATAGCCAAGGGCTGGAAGCAACCTATGAATACACCGTCCTTTTTTAACCTGCTTCTGGCTTGATGACCCACTCCCCAGACGACAGGAGAGGAGCCGGGAACAAATCGAAAGCTGTGATTCTCCAACTACAGCGTGCGTGCAGACCGCCTGGGCTGATCCTCGAAATGGACATTTCCAGGCCTCAATCCCAGAGACTCCAGACCTGGGGTGGGGTCCAGAAATCTTCATTTTTAATACAAGTGCCCCAGACCAGTGCTTCTAAGACTTCCATGTGCAACCCAGCCTCGCTAAAGCTCTTGTTAACACGCACATCCTAGTTCAGTCCGTCTGGGCTGGGGCTCGAGGGCTGCTTCTCGGACACGCCCCCAGGTGACGCTGATGCTGCTGGTCCTTGGACCACATTTTTTTTATTGTATTGTATTGGACCACACTTACACTAGTCTAAAGGACAGACAGGCCCCAGGGGCTGCCAGAGACTGACCTGGAAATGATTGCTTCCCTCTACTTTAGAAAAGTGCATTTGTGCCCGCACGTTATTTCAGAACCGTGCAGTTACTCCGAGCTCCACTCGTAAGAACTACAAATATGAGAAAGCAGGGGAGGCGTTATTAACACGTGCTGAGCGCCTACTGCGTTTCAGGCACATGGCGGACACCTGACGACAACCCTGAGAGGTAGAGGGGCCACATCCGGGGTGACATTCTGACCCGGTAGTAACTAGAATGGCCTGAGAATTGACCAGTCTTCACCGACCTTGGCCCTACGTCCTGCGGCAGCGCCCTAGAGGACCCCTGCTAGTTGCCAGCCTGTGAGTTGACGGATCTTTGGCTGGTCCAGGGGTCCCGAGCCAATTACCAGGTAGCCAGGGAGGAAGACATGGGGTGGGGGCAGTTCAGGCCAGCAGCTCTTCACCAACAGGTGAACTTGGAAGTTTTAATTATCATGAAAGGCTGAGCAGCTCTAGTTACTGTACCCCTTTTAAAGCAGAGCATGCAGAGGCACGGCAAGGTGACGAGACGTGGCGAAGGCACACTCCGTGACCGAGATGGAAGCTGAACTCCGTCATTCTAATTCTAAAAACCACGCGCTGCTGGGGCAGGCTGCTACGACTTTGCTGAACAGCTATTTAATTGATTTAGTTTCCCACAGTAGCAACTTCTCTAGCTGCTCATTAATTAACTCATTGCTTTTCACAGCCTACTGTAAAAATAAATACTGTGATTGATACCGTTTTACACATGAAGAAAGTGAGGCATAGAGAGATTAAGGAACTTGCCTAATGTTACCCCGCATCCCTAATGCACCCCCACCCCCACTGCTTCTTGGGCTCAGTTCGAGCTTGGCCAGGAGCAACCACAGATCATTCTGGGGAGCGGGGATTGAGGGAATTCTGACGTGTTGCTAGTGGTGCTGGTGGCTCTAGTAAGTGACAGAACCAGGCCCTGAATCACTCAGGCAGCCCGACTCCAAAACCCATGCACTTAACCACTGTGAAACCCCACCTCCCTGTTCTAGAAACTTTTAGAAGATTCCCATACCCAGAATCAGCTTTTGCCTTTGTTGATTTTCTCTACTGTAGCTCTGCTTTTTATTTCATTAGCATGGGCTCTAAATTATTTCCTTCCCTCTGCTTTTTAATTTTAACTCGATTTTCTAGGTTTTCATCTAGCTTTTTGAGATGGAGGTTCAGATCCCTGATTTTCAACCTTTCTTTTCTGATATATGCATGTAAAGAGACAAGTTTTCCTCCGACTCCTGCTTCCTATCTGCCAAATTTTGATGTCATATTTTTATCATACTTTAATTCAAAATATTTTCCTGCCCATGAAATGCAACTTATCAAAACTAACAAAATAACAAGTTGAAAACCTGAATAGTCCTATGTCTGTTAACGAGATTGGAGTCTGTCACTTAAAACTCCCCCACGGACAAAATGGCAGGCTCAGATGCCTTTGCTCGTAAATTCTTCCAAACATTTAAGGGGGAAAAAAATGATACTAATTTTATACAAACTCGAAGAGTAGAGAAAGAAGAACCTCTCAACTTGATTTGTGAGGCTATCATAACCCAATATAGAAACTTGACAAGGACATTACAAGATTAAAAAAAAACAACAACAAACCAACAACTCAGGCTTATACATTCCTTCCGGATACAGATGGGAAAGACCGAAGCCGGCAATATGGAAAAAGCATCATGCATCAGGGACAAACGGGGTTTGTTACAGAAGTGCTAGATTGGCTTAATGTTCAAGAATTAATCAGTGTAATTAATGATGCAATAGAATAAGAAAGAAAAAACGCAATCATCTTAGTAGATGTAGAAAAACCACTTGATAAAATGCAATGGCCCAGAGCTGCTTCAAAGAAGCAACATTCACGGTTTCACCAGATAATTTGTTCCTTCCAAATTTCTCACGGCCAGAGAAGGTGCCCATGGCCTGGAGGGGCTGATCTTCCAGGTCCCAGCATTCCTCACTCCCGGTCCCTCAAGGCCTGGCCGAGCTTTTCCTGCACGGGAGACTCCCCCTGGAGGTTTGCTGGCCACAGTTTCTCAGGAGGAGCCTCACCGAATTCTGACCCTTCTCCCCCTCCCCCTCGTCCCTTCCCAGGACGACAACATCATGAGGTCCCTCCAGCTGTTCCAAAACGTCATGTAACTGCGGACACAGCCATCCGGCTCTCGGAGACCTTGGACGAAGCCCACACCTGAACACCTTGCCCCGCCCCCTGCCGATCTCACACACTGACTCCGGGGCAGGGACGCGCCCGCTCCGCTTTGGAGGAAGCCTCGGCGGAGGACTTCCCGCGGAGCCCAGGACCACGTGGCTTGGCCTCTGATTGCCAGCTCTTCCTCCTCCCTCTCCGGAGAGAGAGACCAGACGACATTGGAAGCATGCTCCTCGCCTCACACCACTGCCCCGCGGGCGGTCCCTCTGCTTCAGCTTAGACAGTAGCGCTCACCTGTCCGCCCGCGTGCCCCAGCCCACCGCTGCCCAGCGCGGCCGCCCTTGGCGCACCTGGAAGCAGGACGACCTGAGCCAAGCGCACCCCATCCTCTGCCGGCCTCCCAAACCAGCGTGCCTGTGGCCCTTCCTCCCTTTGGTGGGAAGAGTGAGTGTCCCACTGAACAACCTGAATCTACCGCGGCCGGATGGGGAGGGAGCGCCAGCGCTTAACCCGTCTCTGTGGGCTAGGACAGAGTTACCACGTGTGCGGCGTGGCCTGACGACCCACACCACCCACGTCCTGTGTTTCCAGGGGCCAGGGCCGACCCTTCTCTCTCACACCAGCGTCTGTGCTGGTGGTACAAATCCCCTAACTGCCCCGGATGGGTGCCAGCGCCTTGTGGCCTGCGTCCCCACGCCATCTCCCGCTAGCGCCCAGCGCCGCATGTCCCTCCCAGAAAGCCCCGAATGCCTGCAGATTGCTGTAATTTTATACCATCTTCTAATCAATAAACAGAATTATTTCTTACACTCCTAGTGGTCACTTCCTCCGTGACTCCTGTGAGCAGCAGAGTTAAGTCATGAAAAGGGAGGGCTACTCCGTTCCTTTGGCCTCCAGTTGCTAGTACTGACCCCCCCCCCCAAGCAAACATCCGATTCAGATGCAAATGCCACGTGCACTTGTGGCTCCAGGAGGATGCTCTTCGCAAGGCCTCCCAACGAGATTGCCATCCCAAGACCCTGTTCTGTAGGAAGCCCGGGCCCTCATGGGGTGTGGGTGCGGATGCTGCGGGAGAGGGGTGCCCAGGTCCTCCTGCCGAGGGATGTGTAGTCCAGCCTAACGGCAGCAAACCGCTGCTTGTGTGGGCCACGGTGGGTCTCGGTCTTCCCATTTGACACATTCAAAATCCCATTTAAAAGATTAAGAGCTGAAAGTGGCATTCTTGGAAGGAAAGCAAATATAACAGAACCTCTATTATATGCCAGGGGTTGTACCAGGGGCTTCACGGACATTGTTTCATGCTCACTGGAGAACACCCTGGAAGGTGGAGCCCTGGTGTTACTGATGAGGACACTGGGGCTCAGAGAGATCAGAGGACCGGCCTAAGGCCGCACACAGCTCCACAGAGAGATTAAAGTCTTCCCATTCCGTCCTAGAGCTTTCCTGCCAGGGGAACTGCAGGCACCTCGGACAGGTGGCATTCACCGGTAGTCAGTTCAGAGAGGCATGGGCACTCTTTGAATCCAAACAGGTGAGGAAACCGAGGTAGACAAGGGGAAAGTCTCAGGTCCCAGAGAAGGCCACCCACCACATCTCAGGCCTGCGTGAGACGCTCCCAACCCCATTGCTGTTGACTGCCACCTCGCTGGTGGGAAGTCGTGGGGCCGCGGCTCTGCTTCTCTCTTTGCACTAACCCAGTGCAGCCATGTGGTCACCTAAGGATGCTGGACGCAGGGCCGGCCTCCAGCGAGGCACGCACCTAGGCCCAAGCGGAGGATCTGTACTGGGGACCCTTCCCACGCAGGGCCCGCACCTGCATCAGGAGGCTGGACAACATCAAGGCCGTGGTTCTCAATGTCAGGTCCCCGGCTGTACATCACAATCAGCCGAGGACCTGAAAAGCATCAATACCTGGGCCCCATTCCGGACCATTTGAAGTGGGTGGGGCCTGGCAATCAGGACGCTTTTAGAAGCCGTCCAGGTGATGGTAAAGTGCATGCAGAGATAAGGACAGAAAGGCACCACACCCAGGACTAGGGATGAAGCACGTGAAATGAGCCATTTCCCGCCCACCCCCCTGTTAAAGAATTAGGTCTGAGACCTCAAGGCACAACACCAACACCTTCTGTGGGCCCCTTGCCCCTCGGGGACCGCCGCCTCCCCAGAAGCACTTGACACTAACAAGCCTCCTCATCTAACCTCCCTGGGTCCATCTTCTGGCCGGTTCACCCCCCTGCAGAGTTCTCCACCTGCACCCCATCACTCTCTAGGCCCACCAGGAGCCCCCCAACTCCAGTCCCACCCCTGCACCCCCCGCCCTGCTGCCGAAATCCAGGCAAGGCCCCTTAGGGGGACTGATGGAAGCCAGAAATGGAACCCCCAGGCCCGTTCCGCCTTTCTCTCCACTGGACCACGCTCACTTGTTCTGCACGGGAACACCTGAAGCGCTGCCAGGATTTTTGTGGTGCAGGGGTGGGAGCTAAGAGTATCCAACCCTCCTACCGCCTGAACCCCCGCCCCACGCTCCTTGGACTGTCCAGTCCAAGGGGCCAAAGACCCCCCTGTTAATGCTGACACCGAATAGGTTAATGCTCGGGGAGATACGGAGAAAGACAGACTATTGCCGTGACCGATGGGAGAGAAGGGTTAAAACGGGTGCGACAGGTCTGCCTCTTAAGCAAGCCCTTGCCCAGGCGGGGTGATCCGCCAGCTGGGTGTGAGCGGCGGCTGCTGCTCGCCGCCGAGCCGCTAGATGGCGCAGGCGCCCCGCCGAATAGGCCGCGGACCCGTTGCTTGGGATTCCAGACCACGCCTGCCCCGGAGCCCACGGGGTGCGCGGCGGCCTCGAGCCGCAGAAGGACGCGCCTCGCTGCTCCCCAAAAAAGCCCCAGCGCCGGTCCCGGGCGCGGTGTGCACGCGCAAGCCCGGCACTTCCGAAAGCCGAGTTCCTGGTGTCGCGCCCTGCTACCACTGCCTTGAAATTTTTAATAATCTGTGAACAAGGGAACCCACGTTTTCCGGTTTGCACTGCGTCCTACCCAGAGCTTTCCATTTAAAGAATTGCATTCCGTGACTCGTTCATCCCAGCGAAATGAAAATACCCCATTTTATAGACCAAGAAGCCGAGGCTCAGAGAGGGGATGAGACCTGTCCAAGGTCACACGCTGTTTGCTGATGGAGCCTGCTGGAAAGGCATCGATGACCCCCAGGTGCAGGGTCCTTTCCGGCCTCCATCGGAAGCTGTCCACGGCAGTCCACGGCAGTCCGGTCCTTGCCCAGGCCCAGGTGCAGCCCCTGCTCGGGGCCCACCTTGCTGGCGCTCACAGGCTGGGACGCGGTTGGGATGGGGTTGGATCACGGGGCCCCAGCTGCAGCGCCATTCCCAGAGTCTCCATTTCTTCTGGGGGCTGAAATGCACTGTGCAGCCTGGAGGAAGAGGCACCCATCCCCGCCCAAGCTGTTGATCCTGGAGTCTGTTTCTTGGACAGACAGACAGACAGCCACAGACTTGGGCTATCCAAAGGACGAAGGAGGAGCAGGTCAGTGGGGTGTGCAGAATGGCAGGAAGGAAAGGGCCTGGCTTCCCCAGGCAGTGAGGCCGCCCAGAGCTGGAACCCCAGCTCCCCGCCCCTCCGGTCCAGCCCCATGGCCCTAAGCGGTGGGCGCCTCTGAGCCTCACTCTCATCAGAACCGAACAAGGAAGAGTTCTCAGGGTTGCTGCCAGGATTAAATACTTCAAGTGCCTGGCGAGTGACAGGTCCTCAGTAAATATTTCTTTATTGACTTTTGGTTTTTGTCACAAAGACAGCTGGGTTATCCTCTCCGGTTTCTGCCCCTTAGGGTATGGGGTGGGAGGCAGAGGTCTCCCAGCGGGTTGGAGGGCGGAGGGCAGGAAACCTGTCAGAAATGTGGTCCAACAGGCCAGACCAGCGAGCGCCCCCAGGGAAGCAACCGACTGACTGTGGGTGGGGTTGGAGGGAGCGGTGGGGGCTGCGGGAAAGCTGGGGGGCAATGCTAGGGCACGGGCAGACGGAAAACAACAGAACGATGATAATACTCGTCTGTCCCCACGTGGTCGTCCAAGCTGGGGCTGGTGTCAGTGCCTTTTCCCCGCCTTCCCAGTGCCCAACCCTCTGCCCAGCTCCCCTGAGAAGCCAGCAGGGTCCCAACCCATCCCCCCACCTCACAAATGAGTGACTCGCCCAAGATCAAGAGGGCCACATAAGGACTGGACCCAGCCTTCTCTCAGTTTTGACTCGGGCTCCATCCCAGTACTGCAGGGTCAGGGCCCCGGGGGAGGAAGGGGAGGGAAAGGTAGAACAACCCTCTTTGTTTCTCCATCTGCCAGACCCACACAACTAGGAGTGGGTGACAGGCTTGGGGTTGGGGGCCGGGGAGCGGGGGACAAAAGATTCTTCTGATTCCACGTCCTGTGCCCTCCTCCAAGTTCAGGCTAAGCCAGGTCGCAAGGTTGTCCTGGAGCCTCTGGAGTCGGACAGGCTTGGGCTGGGCCCCCACTGCTGCCAAGTGCTTGCTGTGTGACCTCAGGTAAGTGGCACCACCTCTCTGAGCGTGTTTCCTCGCATACAAAGCAGGGACGGTGATACGGGCAAGACTGGAGCAGTAGGGGGGAAAGTGAGTGGGTTCTGCAGGCGGGGTTGGACTGGGTTCAGATTTCCGTCTACCGACTGGACGAGCTGGAGCAAGGGTCTTCGCCTCCGTAGGCCTCCATTCTCCATTTCCTCACCTGAAAAGCGGGGTGTTAAGACTCCCTGCCTGAGTTGATGTACGGAGATAAGAAGCGATAGTGGTCAATAGTATTAATCACCCGGGAGAGAGGGGGGTGGGTCGGGGAGGGGGGTCTGCTGCATGTCACTGCAGAGGCCACTCAGGGCCAGGCCCGGTGCCTGCCCCAGCGTCCACCCACCGGAGCCCCGGGCCAGCCTGGGCGCCTCCAGAGCCGTCGGCTCAGAGCCTCCCTGTTGTCAGCAGGCGGCCTTTCAGGACGAGACGTGACAATCAGGAGACGTTAGCCAGGCAACACGGACAGCGGAGAGACTGTGAACTCTTCAAAATCAGGACCAGAGAGACTGGATGAAACCTTCCATCCCAGCGTCTGGGAACCTTTGACGCGCTCAGCCTGACACCCGCGCAGCGAGGGGGAAGACTCGCGGAGGCGAGGCGAGGGCAGCAGTTGTGAGCTGCTGAGCCGAGGACCGCGCCCATCACCCCGCTGCTGGGCTTCACACGGTCCCTTTTCCTCCCTGGGCCCGCAGCAGGGACGAACGTGTACCCGGAGTCAGGCAGCCTGGGTTCACAGCCACTTCCTGGGTCCCCGTGCCCGGGTGCTGTCCTTGCACTCACTGTCCCTCTTCCTAGAACGTTCTTGCCCCCTCGTCCCTGGGCACACCTCAACCTACGCTTCCAAACTCCACGTAAAGTGTGGCCACTTCTGAGAAGCCTTCCGGACCTCGAGTGTGGCTGGGCCCCCCACACGGCACGTTCCACACCCTGCTGTGCCCACGTCCCCCAGGGTCTCAGGGGTTCCCGTACAGGGAGGCCCCCGTCACACACACACCCCCGCGCCTCCCACGGCACCTGCCACAGGAGGCACTCGGGAATTCCCCGGTGAGTGAACACATCTCTCCCCAGCGTCCCTGAGGTTTCAGGAGCGTGGAGAAGGGCACTACCTTGGACGTTACTACGGAGGTGACCTGGGCAGCCAGTAGCTGGCACCTTTGCTTCCTCCAGGTTGACGACTGGGCCTTCCCTGGGGCCAGGCT